AGTGAATAGCATTGTGGTCACTGTTTCTAATTTGCTCAGTGGTGTTTTAATTCACACTACATTTTGAGCTCTATATAACCTTATGTCATGCCTCTTTTATTTATTTATTCAGTTTGGATGGCACCCAACTCCAATGGACCCTGGTGACTCACAATAGAGAAACAGTATATCACCAACTGTTCTAAGGCAGAATTATAAAAATATTATAACTTCATCATGACCAGGACATGCTTGTACCCGGTAGATGTAAACATAGGTGAGGGTTCCCATAACTATGACTACTTCTGGGGGGCCTTTCTGATTTTTTTTCTTACTAAGATTAAAGTGTTTTGGTCAGAGTTTATCCCAAGTACAAATTATTTTGGAACTTGGTATTTTAATCTATACAATCTTCTATAAAGAAATCAGTTTCTGTTGAAGTTTCTTCTTTGTCCTATATTGTGATCTCTTAGATGCATAGAAAAGCACAATTTCCAAGCCTTTTTTAACAGCATTTAGATCAGGGGCCTTCAAACTTGGCCCTTTTATGACTTGTGGACTTCAACTCTCAGAATTCCTCAGCCAGGCACACTGGCTGAGGAATTCTGGGAGTTGAAGTCCAGAAATCATAAAAGGGCCAAGTTTGAAGACCCCTGATCTAGACTGATGGAATACCATATCCCTTTCATTGTCTCCATTCTATCCCATTCAGCACTAGGGCAGAAATATATAACAGTCACTAAGTGGTCAGTATGAGGATTATGTTGATGTCTGCCCAGCCACACTCCCAAATGGGTGGGCCAGGATTCCTTTTGTACTTTTTATTATCTTATTGCTTACATTTGACTATTGTATGAATTTTGTTACCATAAAGTTGTAGGATTTTTAACATTTTTAAAAAATCACCAATGATTTTAAATGATTTTTAAAAGGCTTAGGGGAGAAGGGGAAGCAGTTGGAGGGAACAGAAATTGAAAGCTGAGAAGGGTCAGATGGGGGGGAATCGGAGAATACTGTAGGAGGCCTATAAGGATGTGTAACTCTGTCAGGCCATGGCAGAAGATTAACTTTACAGAGAAGAGGCAAAAGATAGCATGTGTTTAAACTCATTGTCCTATGGCAAGACAAAGAGATACCTTTGTTGCATACTTGAGATGATTTGCACTTTTGCTAACTAGGGCAGTGCCAGCTGAAGGGCATAGGGCACTCTAGGCTACATTGATTGATGCTGCCATTTCCCATTGATACAAAGATTTGTATTTTTAGAATGATTCAGAAGGAGGGTGGAGTTGGCACCCATTCAGTTTTGGAGCCCTATGCCCTGTGGCTAAAGCTGGCTTTGAATCAGGGCAATACTTTGAATGTTGTTAATTAGGTTGATTTGATCATGTATTTGACCAAAGTAAAAAGTATAGGAAAGGCATCCTGATCTATTTTTATGATGATACACTGACAAGAGTTATGGAAGCTATGAAGACAATACATAATTCCTCTGTAATGAGAAAAAACTGCCACATGCTTATACACATATGGAGTGCAGGAATCATGGATGTAGGTAAATTTACCCTGAAGAATAAAATGATTTCTCATTGATATTTTTACAGATTCTGTTATCCGTAGTAAAGATTGCCCTAATTTACCCAATGTAGTTCATCTAATATTTGCTCTGTTTCTGCCTATTTATATTATATATTATATAGCAATAAGTACAACATTACATGATATTTCCTTTATAATACCTAATTTAAAATACTTGTCTTTTTATAGCATCATCTCCTTTTCCCAGTGTTATATTGGTTGAAAGTTATTACTTTCACAGTTATTGCTATTAGATAATTAAGGTATATATTACATATTTATTACGCAGGGTGAAGATCATTGCTTCTTTTAAATACTAAAAAAATGTATATCTTTTGTATAAGGTTGAGAGAAATGTAAACATAATGTAGTTCTTCCCTCAAAAACAGTGGGTGAGATGTTTATGTCTTAGCTTTGTGGAAGATGGAAAAAATCTTTGTAGTGGTTACTGCTTGTGTGTCTGAACTGAGACCTTGTAAAGATCCCCACCCAGACTATTTATTTTATCTACGGTAACTTTTAACTAAAATCAGGATCCTACATTGGTAATATATTTATATGTATGCTTAAGAAAATAGCTATATGTGTAGTATTTTTGTCAAGCCATAGAAAGCTGTAATTCCAAATTTTAAAACCCCTTAAGTCCAACAGGTACTGAAATGATCTTTTCAGTTGCCTACATTTTCACACATAGAATGTTCAGAAATTTGTTGTCTGATAAATTCCACTATATTTTGTCCTTGAATCTCTTTTAGTTGTGCAGACAACAACTAAGAAGAATTTGTATCTTAAGTTCTACCAATTCAAACTGAAAGTAATGCATTCACAAAAAATGAATTAAATCAAATTCTCCTTAAAAACGTGAAAGAGAAGCATTCTAGTTTATCCTGTTTTCTAATATCCTATTTTCTGTATGTTTCCTAGGTTCCGCATATATATTCTGCAGTGGTAGAACCAAGGGAACAGCTTGACCACTTTAATATGATCTAGACTTCTCTTACTAATATCATGTTCCTATCTCCTAGATTGGAAAGTTTCTTGCTATTTCTATTTCACTCAATGCTTCACTCCTTTGCTTTATGTTGCGAAAATTACTGCAAGCTTAGGACACCCCCCTTTCTTTATTGATATGCTTCAACACATTTACCTCAATTCTTTTCTCTCTTCTGTTGCTGTAATCTGGGAGCTATTCTTCTGAAGTATTGCCAAGTCAGTAAGTGTATACTGTAAACTAAAAGAGGGTCAAAACTTATGTCTTCTGACCTTTATCCTAAAAGGGTATCAGGTGTGATACCTCTCTAAAGAATCTTGCTGGTAATCTCTTGTTGAGTGGGAGTGTCTGCTATAAACATTTCCTCCCAGTCTACCTTTCAATGGCACTTCACAGTACACTGAAAATTATCAGGGATAGTTAATTATTGGCCTCTTGGAACAACCCACCCACTTTGATTCAGACATGCTTTTCCCAATATTTAAGAAGGCTATTTAGCAATGGTACAGTATAATTACAGAAAATAGTTTGTTTTGGTTAACGTTTTTATGTTTTGTATGTTTGGTTTACAAGTCTAAAAACAGCTTCAGTTTCAAACTTTAAACAGCTCAGCATATGAGCAGAATTTTAACTACTGAATGCCAGGAATCAAGATTTGCCTGTTAAAACTATGGAAGAATTGTATCACTGAAACTCATCAATAAAGGAACTTGTGATAGGAAGCTGGTGCCACTGTATTTAAAGCTGGGGTGGTCAATTAATTTTCCTAAGGGGCCACCTGAGAGAGTGGGACAGTTGTGGAGGACCAAACCAATAGGGCTGTGAAAGTGCGTAGGCGCGCACTCATGCACATATGTATTTTTTTTTTAAATAGCAGTCCCCTCCAGAATAAAAGCAATGCAGTTGTATTGCATGCAAGGCATGCACTTATTTACATTTGATTTCTAATTTCCAATTGACCTCATGCAGGCTGGACAGGGACAGCCAAAGAGACAGACGGATGTGGCCCAGGGGCCATAAAATTCCCAGGTCTGATTTAGAGTGAACATTTTCTTACACATACATACCCCAATTCCAAAGCCTACTTTATAGCTGTATCTAATCGTCTGTACCTCAATATATTCTGTATTATAAATAAATCTTGAGGGCTAGGACAAAATAGAAAGATTATAATGCTAAAGGGACAAAGAATCAAAATGCTCTGGCTGTAATATTTTTTTTCTAGTAATTCATAATATTAGGATACTGTTCCCAGCTAGAGCAGCTTACTAGAAAAAGTTATACTGTAGGTACAGCTGCCTTTACAAGTTGAAAACTTCAAGCAACACAAAATGGAGCTCCCTTGATATTGATGGAGTTGATTATTTCCTCAGAGGTCTTACATTAATTTTAAACCTTGACTGTCTGAATGTCCTGCAGATGGCTTTTGAAGGTAATGTAATTTGAGTGCCATATTTTTGAAGATTTGCTTTTTCACATTTGTGTTTGACTGTGAATTAAGCTTTTTCTCAGAGGACCTGATCCATTTGCCCAGTTTATTTTAGAGATAGTGGAGGGTTGCATATGATAGGATCTTCTCAGGAATAATACCAATCTTATGGAACTCCTGCCCTGGCCTTCTTCCTCACCAACGAGTCAGGTTAGAGAATTCTACAGAAATTTGGATCTACAATACATAGATTTTTAGTCAATGTGTGTTGTTTTTCTAATTTTCTAAAACAAGAACATATACAAGCTCAGAATTACTATAGCAGTAGAATTATCTATCCTGTTATAGAATATCATGCACTTTTGTTTGCTTGCATATTTACTAGATTTACCTCATGTGTTGCTCCCAGAGCTCAAGGCAGCATTTGGGGGTGGGGGGGAATCTTTAATTTTATCCATACTGCAGCAACCCTATGAATGACTAGTCCAAATAATGAACTCATGGCTAAGAATGAACTTGAATATGTCCTGGTCCAACACCTTAATTACTATACTGCACTCACTTCTTGTGACTGATTACACACTTTCAAATTCTTCTGAGATCTTATTCTTAGGTTATATTAAAAAGAATAATCAAAATAAATTATTCTGGAATAACTAGAGTTTCTTAACGGCTAGTAGCAATGTATATGAAAGACTTTGACTATGTACAGCCTCTAGATTGTTGAACAGAACCAGTGAGAAAGTACTTTTATGTCATGTCCTATTCACAGGTTTCTTAGAGGCATATGGTAGATTAATACTGGATTCGGGACACTGAAGTATAACATACCTTCTTATACTTGACTCCAAGGCACAATTACCCATCATTCCATTATACTACAGTTACATTTATTTCTCTCCGTAAGATTTTCTATTCTCTGTGCTGCTGAAATGAAACATAGTGCCCTCTGTTGTAAAATGGTACTTTTTTCCATTGTTTAAAATAATAGTCCTGTTTTGTTCAATTTCTGCTCTTTCATAGGAAAAATTGCTTGCTATGCAACAAGAGAGAGAAGCTGCCATTCATCAGTATAAAAGTCTAGAAGAAGAACTGCAGACTCTTCGTATTTATTACAGGTAATGCTATTTCTATTATTTTTATTTTTTTATTTATTTTATTAAATTTATATGCCATCCATCTTGCTCTCCAAAGCGACTTTGGGCAGCTTACTCTACAATGCAGTACAGTTGTAAATGTGGAAAAATAATGCAACATTATTCCTAAAGATTACAAATATGCAAGGCAAAAATGAACTAATAATTCCAGAATTCCAGTTCATATCCATTTTCCCTTTTAATATCATTTCAGTCTGACAAAGCTGTAGCCACAATTTAGTCCCATGCATTGTCCTTTGGCTTGAAATCTATAGGATGGCACTTTTCAAGCCTTATTGTATTCCAAATGCCAGTGAACAAGTGTCAAAAAAGCAGGAAGCATTTCTGATGTAACATAATTTCTTGAACTGGAGGCTAGTTTCAGGGGACGTCTGGTTTGTAGATCTTAGGTTACAGATTGCCAATGTCAGTCAGTATCAGGGCTGTTACTTAAGATACCGCTACATCAGATTCAAATATCTTCTCCTTTTCAGTATTCAAACTCTGTCTGCTTATGTCTGCTGCTTAAGGTTAGGATCATAAGAAAAATGAGAAAGAAAAATATTTTTATTTTCTTAAATAGAAAACATTTTGCAAAGACATAAAGAACCACCAAAGTTTTATCCCACAGTTACATTGGGAATATATAGCTTACCACAGTTTAGCTTGTTATCCATTCCACTCCAAACCTTTGTCTATTTTGCTGGAATATTGGCTGAGATTCTAGCTGACTTAAATGTTTCTAAGTTATATGCAATATATTAACAACAGCTAAGATTTTAATTCACCATCTAAGGGCATTGCTTCAAATCTCTAACAATTAAGGAAAAGCTTCCAAAGAGATGGCATATTGCCTTGATTACAGATTGTTTGCAAGAGGATCAATTAATGTGTTGGTTTATAGACAATGGACATAGACATAAACTGTAACCATAAACCATTCTTTCTTCTAACTTAAATCTATTCGTAGATTTCAGAAAGTGCTTGTTTTAAATGTTCGGCATGTTAAAAGAATTTTAAAAAATCATAGATTTGAAATGGCCCACTTAAGCCACTTGGTCCAACTTTTTGCTCAATACTGGAATACAAATTATAGTCTTGTGACAAATGGCTGTTCAGCCTCTTCCAAGTGATTCTAATGGTGAGCTGCTCTTATTGTAATGAACTTTTCCATGACTCAACTGGAATTTGCCTCCCTGTAATGTAAGTCCATAATTCCATGTTCTACACTTTGGGACAATAAATAACAGGTTTTAGCTTTTCTATATGTGACATCCTTAAGCTATATCTTTGAGCCCTATTTGCACATAATGTGCAGGTATATGGGACAGGTTTTTCAGCCCAATTTGGCATCAACAGGAATTATTCTGGGGCAGCTGCCAGAGACAGATGCCATTACTACCTTCCTTAGGAACTCTATTTTTTAAACATACTTTTAAAAAAAGTGTGGGGTATGGTACTCATGCAGCTGGGTCTGTGAGCTGTCCTTTAAATTCTCTTCATCATTTCAGAATGGCAGTAGTTCACTGGCATTGTGGGTAATGAATAAGGCACCCATTCAGTTCTTAACAAAGTGCTTTTGCTGTTTGTGTTAGAATAAGGATTCAGAGCAGAGATTCTCAGACTGTTTATGCATTAATCACTTAAATTTTTGTGGTAGACTTTGCCAACCTTAGTTAAAACATAGTATATACATCAAAGCTTTAAATATACAAATCATCTCTGAATACTTTTCAAATGTATATTTTTCAGTATCATCATCTTCATTGTTATTATCTTCATTATTTTATTTAATGAATATTCATAGGCCTAGATTACACTAAGAAGTTTCTACAGTTTTAGGGAAAATGTAGTAAATTGTGTAAATATTATATTATGAAAAGCACAAATTAAGACAGGCACTATTAGCTTTTTCTGTAATCCAACCCTGGTCAAACAGCTTCAAAATTGCTACCATGAAGAACATTTTGACAAATTATGACAAGAGAGTCAAGAATATGTTATTCTAAATTTAAATTTAATTTTTTTTTAAAAAAATAAGATTTCTAAAAAATTAATAAAATCTATTTTATGTAAGAAGGAAAGAAGTAGGGTCAAAAAGTGCAAAAGGGGGTTTATCCCAACTCTGTGAAAAATTGAGTCTTAGTGAAATGAATTCTGTTTGTTATTATTCATGAACAGTTTTTATTAATCTGATTCAATAATGGAGAACCATTGAATACTTTGCCTAACTGTCATAAACTATATATTGCCAGTTAAAATATTCTAATTTTCTAACTGCTATATTTTCTTGGCAGTGATTAATGCAAATAATAAAAACTGGATAGGCAGGTAAATTATAATCCTTCTTCCTGTCAAAGGGAACACAAAAAATCATAAAGATATTGCAAAAAATAATATATATTGTAGGCTTTTTAAAAAGAATGATTAATCCCAAAAAAAGTGGGATTATTTTTATATGAGCTATACAAAGCCTTTGAAAGAGGTGCCTTGCAATGCACAGGAGACGGTAAGAAGGATCTCTTTTTGGATTATTAAAGCAGCCATCTCTTTTGCAAGGCTCATGCAGTTGCTTTGGAAGCTGTTCTGTGTGCATATGAGAAATTGGGGCAACTTTGTTTTAACAATGATTTAATAATTCATTGTTTTAATATATCAGTGCTTTAACAAGTGGAAAATAGGTGCTTTGTATGTGTCCTCCTTCTTTCAAAGACTTTGCAATCCTGTGTCTGTTAATGTCAGGCCCACTGGGTAGACCAGTCACGTAGTTAATTTCACAGGAAGGCTAAAGCTGCTTTTAAGATTGGCTGTAAGAACAGAATCTGATTTGGCTATACTTTCCCTTGCTTCCTATAGTCTAGTGAATTAGGGAGGTGTCTGTTTGAGCTATTTTTGAACATTATCTCAACAGTCTGGACTTTAAAAACGATTTAGCCATTGAAATGACCAGATGCACAAGTCTCAGGAAGTTGCTCATTTAATTTACCAGCCAGTACCCTGGACCTATCCAGTCTTCCATGCCATGCCCTTTTTCTTTACAACCTTATTGATGCACTCACAGAAAATATCTGTTCACAGACTTCTTGACTACTTGATTTTCAAAGTGATGGCTTAAGAAAAATGTCATGCCTTGCTACTAGCTCTTGGGAAGGAAATAAACAAGCTTTCTATTCATGCAAGTATTAAATGTAGCAAACAACAACAACAAATCAAAATTCAATAAGTTTGCCAGGCCAAGAACAATATAGAACAATCTAGCCAAAATTCAGTTGCTTATTTGCTCACACCCTATAAACAGAATTTTGCCAGACCTATTTTTATTACAAAATTTATATCCACCCTTCACAGTGTTCTGGGTAGTTCATAGTCTTGGAAATTGGACATTCTAGCAGAAACCAAATATGCCATTGAGCTATTGAAGTGATCTAATTATAGCAAAGAACTGATGATAATATCTTCCATATCCAAATCACATGTCCTTTGCTCAGAGGAAATGGCCACAAAAACCTGTAGTCACCTATATGAGTAATGCTACTACTGGGACATGCTTGTGGTTACTAAGAAAGCTATGAATTCCTGAGTCTTTTCGGACCCTACCTCTAGAGCAGTGATGGCGAACCTTTTAGAGACCGAGTGCCCAAACTGCAACCCAAAACCTACTTATGCATCGTTGGGTGCCGGGTGGGTGTGGTCCATTGGATGGGTATGGTCCATTGGGTGGGTGTGGCTGCTGTGGTAACAGCAGACTGGGTGGAACTAAAAAGTTCAATCAATCAATTCCAACTTTGCAATATCTTTTTTTTCCTTCAAGAAGTTGAAATTGACTGATTGATTGAACTTTTTTTTTTGTACACGGCGGCGGAGGCCTAAAGCGAAAAGGTTTTATAAAACCTAGCTGAAGGCCTAGGGCGATGGCGCGCGTGCCCACAGAGAGGGCTCTGAGTGCCGCCTCTGGCACCCATGCCATAGGTTCGCCACCACTGCTCTAGATCATGGAAATTGAAGTTTCCCAGGGAGAATCCTACACTAACCCTGTGACAAGATCAAAGACCTCAGAAAGGCATATTGTTGGGTAGCAAGATGAACAATCAATGGTTTCCCTAATTAATCTCTACAGGCCAATTTATATCAGTCATCTATGGAGTCAGGCACATAATAACCACAGAGACTCTCATGCAGGATTATTGCAACCACATCCCTGGCCTGGAAACAGTAGCTGCTAAAGTAGTCAAAACTTGAAGGACAGATCTCCAATAGGGGAACATCCCCATCCTTGTCTTTAGGAGCCATGGTGGCACAGTGATTAGAATGCAGTATTGCAGGTTAACTCTTTCCCCAGCAAGGAGTTCAATCTTGACCGGCTCAAGGTTGACTCAGCCTACCATTCTTCTGAGGTTGGTAAAATGCAGACCCAGATTGTTGGGGCAACATGCTGAAATTTGTAAACCACTTGGAGTGTGCTGTAAAGCATTATGGAGCAGTATATAAGTCTAAGGGGGGGGGGCATATAGAACTAGAAAATTTGCTCACACTGAAATGAATGTGTCAATGTGGTTATTTTGTACTGTTCTCTTTACTCCTTCTGTATGTCTGTCTATCTTCATATCATTTTGGAGATCTCTTTGTAGAATAAAGATGAGAATTATTTACTGCAAAAACATGCATAGATTTAAAAGAAGGTATTATATACAATAGAAATGGTATTTGAACTTGACAGTCTCATTTTATGCTTTAGACTGCTCCACAAAAGATCCATCCCACTTATACAAGGTGGGAGGCTAAATGCTGGGAAGGAATAATCTTTTTCTCCTTTGCCATTAAGAGGAGGTCTTTGTTTAACCACTCTCTGCTGTGGGACACAATGTGATATGTCTCCATGTATTCTGTTAATATGAAAGAACTTAACCTAGCGCAACTTGATACAGCACAATTGAAATGGTGCGAAGAAAAAATAAGGTAGCGCTAGGTGTTAAATTATATCT